CCTGGTAAACTAGATTTCAGAGAGATGAATTTTAAACTACCATTCTCTACTTCTCATCTTCATGTCTACTAATATTATAGGTTCATTATTTGTAATGATCTTATTTATTTTTGATGGAAAAGCTTCCAATCAATATAATTGTTTTTGTTTTATTCATTCATATATGATTCTCTACTACTAATGGGACTCAAGACAGCTTACAATCATACTATTTTTCACCTGCTATGGAGTCCAAGAAGAATGTTGCCACTTCACGAGCTCCTGAAGTGAAGCCCGGAACTATGTTATGTAGTTTGCTTGAATATGAGCCATGTATCAATGTTCAGCTAACAAAACTGAAAATCCATCAGCTGCTCTTCCTCTTACCTGTGATTTCTTTTTGTGTTGCTAATGGACTTCAAATTCTGTTTCCTGGAGTTTATGACCCTTTGTATCCCAAAACCTGCTTGGCCAAGGAGGAGGAATGGTCTCTGCCTACATAGATATATTTCCATACCATCTTAACATCATTTTAACAAAATGTAGGTCTATGACTCCAACATTGTCATTTTTTCTTTCTTTCTTCTGTTTGATTTTTTTAAACACCGTTGCCTGATGAACAAGCCAGTGGAGCTTTGGATGCTTGCAACATGTATTTTGTGCATTTTGGTTGGGCAATAAACATATCACTGTTTTGTGGATTGTGGATGTTTTTATACTTTGCTGTAGAGCCAAAATGTCTACCCCTGGATATGTTTCCTTGCTTGCAGTGTTCTTCAGTTCTCAGAATCATAGATATATAGATAGAATCACAAAGTTGGAAGAGCCCACAAGGGGTATCCAGTTCAAACTCCTGCCATGCAGGAATACAGAATCAAAGCACTCTTGACAGATGGCCAGCCAGCCTCTGTTTAAAAACCTCCAAAGAAGGAGACTCTCCAAGGCAGCACATTCCACTGTCAAACAGCTCTTAGTGTCAGGATGTTCATCCTGATTTTTAGGTGGAATCTCTTTTCTTGGAGCTTGAATCCATTGCTCCGTGTCCTATTCTCTGGAGCAGCAGAAAACAAGCTTGCTCTGTTCTCAACATGACATCTCTTCAAATATTGAATATATGTCATCCCTTAACCTCCTATTCTCCAGGCTAAATATACACAGCTCCATAAGTCTCTCCTCATAGGGCATGGTTTCCAGACCTTTCATCATTTTGGTTGCCTTCCTCTGGACATGCTCCAGTTGTCAACATCCTTCATGAATTGTGGTGCTCAGAACTGGACACAGTATTCCAGGTGGAATCGACCAAAGTCATGAGGCTACTCCCCTCCTCCATTTTAGCAGTTTGGATTTGGTTTCTTGCCTGAAAGGGACACACTTCACAAAAAAGGGTGTTAACTGCTTGCTAAAGGCATTTCTGGGCAGAGGATTTTTCAGAGTCTGATTCATTTGTATGTTCCACAGGACATACTCCACATACCAGCTCAACCCATCATTACATGGACAGACCATAGGCCATGTTTGGTTGTTTTTTAGGGGTTCACTATACAATTTAACAGTAAATAGCTGTTCCCTGCATTGGCTGTGTTGTCTGGACACAAACCAGAACCTATGCCCTACTGATGTTTATCTATTTATCATGCACTCTATCCACCCGTCATGTTGAGTCTATTCATTTTTAATGTGATATAATAATAATAATAATAATAATAATAATAATCATCATCATCATCATCATGTTTTATTTATCTTCCTCTTTTCCTACCGTCCTCCATTTTACAAAGTATTAGGCTTTAGCAAGTCTTTTCTAATGAGTCCTATCTTATGTCAAACAGCTCCCATGCCATTGGCCAATGGAAACTGCCCCTTGCCATGAAATTTATCTGCAATGGCATTCATTCTCTCTGCTCAACAAGGTCCTCCTCTTTACTAGAAATACATCATTGCCTGCTGTCCTTCAGTTGCATTAAGCTACAACTCCCCTCATACCAGTCAGCATAATGAATGTAAAGCCTGACAAAGCAACTTTGAACAAGATGAAGAGATAAAAGAACCTGGGTGTGATGAGGGTAGCAGGGAACAATGAAACACCTATGCAGCCTTCTGTAATTTCCTGTAATCTTTGTCAAGGGAAGTACAGAAATCCTGGAAATTACTGCTTTTGGTCAGTTACTGTTAGAATATGGATGGGCTATGCCAGGGGAAGGCAACCTTTTTGAGCCGGGAGCCAGGTTGCTGTCCCTCAGACAATT